ATAAATACAGGCACAATGCTTATATTTCTATCTTGGTCTGTCATCTGAGTAAAAGGATTGCTTTGCAGCACACCACTGGAGTTATTACATGACTATGTTAAAAATGTGATTCTGATTTGACAATTATGGCCTTTTATGGTCTGTCAAATTATTGATTTTTTTATAAATAGCCATGTGATAAGCAGCTAGCGTACAGCAAGCGGGTCATTATTGCAAAATAAATCCCTTCAGGTTGATTCCAGACCTGCATCATCCTGGGGTATATTTTGGAATAATGACTGGTTCACTGTGCATTATCCCTTACACAAACTTGTGTTCCTGTGTATTTGAAATAAATTATATTTTTAAAATGTCCAAGACCAAATTGTTTTCAACATAATTTAAAGATATACTATGCAGGATTGTCTGTTATTGTTTGTAAACGCTCGCCAGCAAAAGTGAACGTCAAAGTCAACCCCAGATTCACTCTTGTTTTATGTTTTCGCCTCGTTATATTTATGTTTTTTTGTCTCTTGGATGATTGCTGCTGAAGGTCTGGCACCTTGTTGCTATCCTTCTATAAAGCTCCAACCTCACGTGAGTGCTGTGGGAGTACACGCCCATAAATGCTCCGAGCACAGAAAAGAAGATGACAGTGAGAAAATACAAACAGAGGGCAGAGTCTCCGCAGAGAAATACACCTCCACACACTACATACTGCATTCAAGGTCTCATGCTGCGTCCAGTTTTAGACAAATTTAGCTCTATATGCATGCGTTGTTCAAACTGATGAATACCACAATAACACATCAACGATACAACTGTGTCTTTGTCCACAGCAAAGCCATATCTGATCACCTCTGCCATGCACAACACCTACCTACGTAAACAAGCAGGTCTGTCTGCATTCCTTCAGCATGTGAAAAAGAAGAGAACAAAGGTGGCACTCACTCACTCACACACACACACACACACACACACACACACATTCAGTCCATACACACACAGGCAAAAATGCTCCAAATGTATTTGCAGCAGCAGCTTCAGTGTTTTTGTAGAAACAATCACAAGAGCCTTGTTTGTCTGATCTTTTACAGTGATAATTACTCAGCAGTGTGACAATGAGGAGAGCAACGCCTTGAGCGGCACACTTTGTCGGATCATATGCTCGAGAAGCAAATCCACGTTTTCTACCTAAATTAAGAAAAAAAAATACCATTGAATACTCAGAATATCACAAGAAACAGAGTTGGATGATGGTGCTGCAAAGTTATGCTGCGTGTGTGTTGACTCACAGGACGAAAACATGCTGGAGTCACAAGCGTCCGTTATACATTAACTACTAATCATTTTAATAAATAATCTTGAAAATGTGCCCAGTTGTGTGGGAACTAGAGAGAAAAACTCACTCCTTTTCACAGAACCCACAAATACTCGAAAGATACTTTTTCTCAAGGAAATGTGTTTGAAATAAGAAAAAATTATCATAATCCACTTTTGTATATCCACGTTTCTGAAAAGTCTGTACAGAGCTTTACTGGTGTTACTATGAGTTTGTCAGTGTCCTGCGGAAAGACAACAACACATCATACCACTGACTCACAAGGCTTTGGAGATGTAGCTGGTCAGAGTCCCCAGGCTCCTGGAGGGCTTGATGCTGGCAAATGAGGGGCTGGACTGGGGGCTGGACTGGGGGCTTTCATGCACGGAGGGTCTGCATGACAGCCTGGGCAGCTGTAGGGTGCCCGAGAAGAGCCGCTTCACAGCACATTGGACGCCAAAGTCGTGGGGGAGCTCGATGCAGGAGGCCTGCTCCGAAGAGTCCCATTGTCTCTGGACGGCAGAGGAAACAAAGGAAACTGTCAGTTTGGTTACATTTTTAGATCAGATGCTTCTAACTGACGAACTAGAGGGTAAGAACTGTGACGGCATGAAAATATGTGGAGGTGGGTGAGTTAAGGTTTTCACTCGTTTAGCTACTCACATTTGCACATCAGTGGTTTAGGTTTTACCCATCACATTTAACATTGTGAGGACTTTTTTAATGCTCTGTAAATGACATTTAGAAATTTTGGCCAGTGGATGATGCTTCATTTGGCTAGACGTGGCAGCTGGGTCACAAACGTTCTCATTTCACAGCTAAACAGTACACTAAAATATGTTTCTGAAACATCTGAGGCAAGAAATAAGCAATGCAGTTCTTTGTGCTTTGTTAGTCTAGTCTTAGGTAGTCTTGTGTAACATCTTGGCCGAGGGACTACAGATGAAGAACAGCCTTTTGGCTAATTCCGGCATTTTTATACCATGTGTATTTATTAGTCCCTTCTTAAATAAACTGAACTAAACTAAACTACACCTTGTTTGACAGCAGTTCATGAGCACTGACATGATTGACAGCTGCCTTAGATGCAGTGGATTCTTGCAAATGTCAACAGAAGCACTAGGAGGAGGAAGAGGAACATGATTTTTTCACAGATTATCTGTCTAATGTTGATATAGTGACAGTTTCAGGAAATATGACAAAAAGTTATTTTAATGACAGTTATCAACTAGTTTTAGTTGCTATGTGTCACAACACTTTATAGCTTAGTACAAATAAAATGCAACACTAAATCTAACCCAATTCAATACAGCTTGGCACTTTATCAACTGTGTGGCTCACTGCCCTACATGGAGGTATTCATTTTCAGAGATGCCTTTAACTTGGCTGCACAAGTAGGGAGTGATTCTTCTTTCAGTTTGGATACTTAAGATGCTTCATCACTAAATGAAACTGCAAAAAAAAAAAAAAAAAAGCAAATGAAATCTCCTTAAGTGGGTCTACTTTGGTTATCATTGGCAGCAGAGGGTGAATATTCATAACACTTTCATATTTATTCAATTAAATTACTAAATTAGTAAATTAGTAAATGCCATGCTTGGCCTCTGCTGAACTTCTCAAAGTAGTGAAAAATAAAACTGAGATCTAAAGGTAAGATGCAGACAGGGCTGTTTTTGTGCTGTTGCCGAAAATATGACGAGCCACGTAAAAGCACTCTCGGGCATTATTTTTGGAAGCGCTATCTGATTTCAGGTCCTGAGACCCACTCTATCACCTTGGACACAATAGATGGTTCTCACAGTGAGATAGTGTTTGGGATTTAGCTCTCAGGGCATGTCTCTTTCAGCGTCAGTGGAAACAGATAGGAGCGCTTGTTTTCTGCTGCATCCTGTGACCTTATCTCTCCATCTGCTTGTGAGTTCCACCTTTCCATAAACCATTGTCAACACAGTCTTAGGTTTTATTGTTGACCACTTGTGACCAAACTGACCAAGATGCAGAGCGCAGTGTTCATTTCCTGAGAACTTCACCTGGGATAAAACATCGACTTTCTCCTGTCATTTACTGATTTCTCCTCTCAGTGACATGAATACTGTATTACGGATCATTTATGTATGTTCATTCCAAATGGCTTTTGAAATTGCTCCCAAACTTGCTTCAACATAACAAATCAATACTATTAACCTGACATTTCAATAACACACTGCTACATTTGAACATTCTCCATAACAGTTTGAAAATGGTAAAACACAGAAAAACATGAGTTTGTAATTACATAATCGAAATAAACAAAAGATCAGTCATAGGAGGAACCTGCCATCTTGGTTTTGGTAATAATACTCGCTTGAAAAAAAGGCTTAAAGCTTTTTGTTTGAATCCTGAAAAGAAGTCAGAACACACACACAACAAATACGAGTCCTAGGCCACAGACAGAATCAACTATTCTAACATTTGTTTTTTCCCTTACCTCGGTGAAGTTGAAAAATTTTGATGAGTTATTTCTCCTCATACTTTTAGCTACTGCATCATGGGAGCAAGACAACTGGGAAGGAAATACCAAAGAGGAGGATACAGAAACCACATTTAAGATCAGATATGAAGATGTCTGTGGCACCAGTAATCCCTCATGCTGTCACTCAGTGGAGAACAACTGTTTCCACGCCTCTTCATAAAGCTGTCATTAGCTCTGAGATAAACTCTCCAAGCACACTTTTGAGTTTGCATAAAGGCAACAGTTCAACCCCAAATAAAAAATACATTTGTTCCCTTTACCTGTAGTGCTATTTATGAATCTAGATTAATTTGGTGTGCGATGCTGAGTCCACAAACCTTGTTGTGAGCAGATTCATGTCGAACTATTTTCCTTCAACTGAACTACACATACTATTATCACCGCAAATAAGGAAGCATGCATCCCCTGCTAGCTCACCTAGCACCACTGAGCTAGCTAACGTTACAGCTCAATCTGAGGAGGACGCCATTAATATTTGCATCTCACGCTGTCATGAGCACAAGCCTCCCGTCCATAAGTAGATACATGCCTCCCCCTGCCCCAGTGATGTAGCTGCCGGTTGTAGTTCAGAAGAGGGGAAATAGCTCCTACATGAAACTATTCACAACAAGGTATGTGGATAATCTTGAGTAACCGGGCCATGATTTCAGGAGAGAGATATTGCTGTTGTATTTTTTGGCACTTTGAGCATCACAAGCTGAGTGCCATCTAGCTCCATTATACTAGAGTAAGCAGACATCTGTATGGTTGATATCTCCCAACACTTGTTGACTCACACCAAAACAACTTTGAGTGATAAATAGCACTAAAGGTAAGAGGGAAATAAATGTATTTTTGATTTTGGAGTGAACTGTTACTGACTGATTGTGACCCTAATTAAACCAAAAGCAATGTTTTCTTTTTGTAGGAAACAGGGTGAATTAGTCTGTTGAACAGGGATAAGAAAGGACACGGATGTCAGATGAGGTGGTGGAGCTGCCTGCATGACAGGCCATCATTCATGTGTGTCTATCTGACTGCAGAATCAGTGGACCATCAGGTTAGGCAAGACTCTGCTTTGATCAAGCTGCTGCCTCCTGTAACTTTTTTTTTTTTTTTACAACATAAACACAACTTTGGATTGATTTATTATTTCTACTTGCATTTGGGTCCATGTCTAACAATCAGTATGATCTTCAGGAGATGTTGTGAACTTTATTATGAAGTTTTTATTGAACTTTTTTTTACAGGTTATTATGAACTTTATCTTCTGCTGCACCCATATGAATAAAACCAAAAAGTACAGAAAGTGTAACATCAGTTGTGACTCGTGAAATCACTCATCTGTTTTCAGTGCCTTTAGTCATGATCCCTGATGTGCTTATGAACATGTACTTTGTGTATAATGTATTCTTTACTATACTTGTCTGTTTTTTGAATAACATGATACTGAACATTAAATTAGCTGTGTAAAAACTTTCTCAGGATGATCTGACAGACTACAATATGTTCACAGTTCAAAGAAATCAGCTAAATAAACTTAAGGAAAACCACTGTAAGACAGCAGTACGACATAATCAATGTTCATGTGTTCCTCACAGGGGACAGAAGATGTGTTTATGAGATATGGCGCCCTCTAAAGGACAGTGAGAAGACTGTCTCTGACCAGACTTTGCAAAAGACACCGCAAACACCAGAAGGCTATCACTAAGTCAAAATGCTACAAGAAGTGTTTATGGTTTCAGTGGATAACATTTCAATGATGACACATTTTGTTAAGAAATTGAATTGTATTTGTACTGTGTGAATTATAAAGTGAGGCAGTTATTTTTCCCTTTTTAGAAACAGATTGTAAAATCACACATTGAAAAAAAATAAAAAAAATAAATTGATGATATTCCTCAGTGTTCCTTATCTAGTGAGCCACACCTGGAACAGAGCAAGCGTGTGCAGTGCTGCTCCTTCAATCTTTGTGGCAGTAGCTTCTGAAGTATCTCTGGCCCTCTCCACAGACAGGCGGCTTGGGGCCCTGAAAAAAAGTCAAAGGTTAAATCTAAGCAAACAACAAATTATAAACTGCTTGTGCTTTTATAACACATGGTAAAACTGCACTAAAAAGCAGAAGTACATAACAGAGTCAATGAATGACTCAGATTTGATTGACGCTAACTGTACCTTGTACATGTTGCAAACCAGAGTGAAGAGAGAATTCATGGCCTTGTCCTGCAGTTCCTCTGTGTGCTCCTGCAAAGTTAATACAAATGAGTATCCCAATGGCTATGGAAACAGATCTGCAGCAGATCTACAGGTGAGTGCAATAATGACAGACGGTCATATGGAAAAGAAAGGGTAGTTTTTGAAGAAACCAAGCCATCTCTCATCCTACAGAGTCAAACTATGTTTTCATGACAGTCTTGTAATGGTGATGTAAAGTAAAGAAATCCAAAGCCACTTTTAATAAGGCAGCCCAGTTGCCATAATAAAATGTTGACAATGTATGTTTCTGAAAGCCACAAATACCTTACATTTGCATGTTTCATCCTTACCATATCAAAGTGTCTAAAGTGACATAATATATGAGGCGATGTTGTCATCGGGAGGTGGAGGGGGTGGTGGAGGGGATGGTGAATAGTATGTCACCTAGAGGAGACGCCTGACAATATAACTTAATAAATGCCTGTCAAGCTGAAGAGCGCTATTCGAGACCAACAAAACAGGTTGTTTTTGCTGTATTGCTGTATTTCCAGCAGCTTTTTAGCCCCCAAATAATGGTGTTTATTAGGGACAATTCATTGTGTTTCATGCAACTTTTTAGCCCTCAAACATGGGTGTGTTTTTAGGAACCTGTTGCTGTTTTTCCAGCACCTTTTTAGCCCCCAAATAAGGGTGTTTACTAGGGACAATTCGTTATGTTTCATGCAACTTTTTAGTCCCCAAACAAAGGTGTTTTTTAGGAACCCCTTGCTCTGTTTCCAGTGGCTTTTTAGCCCCAAAAATGAGCTTTGTTTTAGGAACCCATCACTGTTTTTCCAGAGGTACAGTGAATTTCTGGCACAGAGCTTTTATGTTTGAGTGTGGTTTCCTGCTGTCGAGTGACGGACAGCTACTAAAAAGAGACAACAAACTAACTTGATGACATGGCCAAATGCAAGTATGACGCTGAATACATTAGACTGTGTGGAAGTTGAACTAACAACTATGGTGAAATCTGGACCCTGTAGCTGTACCAGTTGGGAACAACTGTTTCAAAGACCCTTCACTGTGTTTCCAGTAGATTTGTAGATTTTTTACCAATTTATCACTGTTTCCAGTCTGGGTTATGCCCCTAGAACTGGGTATTTAAAGCCCGAACATGATCTTACCATAATCAAATGGGTTTTGTGCTAAACACATATCAGCTATTTAATAACATGCATATGTAATGTATTTGTGGTTTGCAGAAACCTTTTTTTCTGGCAAGTGGGTTCTATCAGGAGCACCCCTTGGTGCCTAAACTGGTGCTTGGGATTCTTCCACAGTCCAACTTAATAATTCCCTTCATACAGGCTTGTTAGAAAATGCAAGAATATTTTCATGAATGTCTGAGAGAAATAAAATATGACAAAATCCCAGTTTAATCTTGCAAAACAAATCAAATATTGTTTATTATTTATTAACATATTTGTGCTCTGCAAAAGTTATGTGCTCTAAAATTTTCTCTTCAAGCCTTATTTGACAAACCAAGTTAAAAATAAAGCTTCAGCTCCCCTCAGGTGGCTCGGCAGAGAGGCAGCAGCATCTGTTGTGCTGTGGTTTGGAGTTACATCAAGATGTAGCTTTACACACATCAGTCACAGCTCTCTTTCACTTATACATAGAAGCTTTGGGGCAGATCAAGTGTCAAAATAATCACAAGATCATATCATCACTGTAAATGTGACATCACTTGTTTAAAAAGTGAGCATCAATGGCAGTGGCAGAATGAGGGCACTGCAGACAAAGTGGCTTCAAATCAAGCCAGGAAGGAAAGATGGAAGTTTCATTCAAAGTCAAAGATGATGTGTTTTATTCTGGCCTAAAGATTAATAGCTTCTAGCAGTCTCCTAGTTATGTTTTTTGCACAGAGGCCATAGCTTTCCCTGCTAAGTGCACTGGAGCCTTACCCCATTAATGGTGATCCAGGGCACATACTGGTGGGGAGGTTTCAGGGCTTCGGTCTTCAAGGCATTCTGATGCATCAGCTGGTTTCCCAAATCCCCGTTTACACAACTCATGACATCGCCCCAGGTCACATCAGTGGAGTAATCTTTCACACACTACAAACACCAATGGAGGGAAATTTAAAAACACATCAAATTCAATCCTGTAATAATGAATAATATGAATGAAAGTGGCGGTGACAGAAAAGATGGCGCATAAAAGGATAGAGACAAACAGACACCAGAAACACACACACACAGAGACAGACTTCCTTACGCTCTCGGCTGAACCGAGGACATCAGTGGAGGATTCCATACAGAAGATGATCACGCCAGCATCAGCAGTCAAATTCAATAGACAAGTCTGAGAGGAACAAGGCAATTAGTTAGTCATAGCAGAGTGTCTGGTACAAGACAATACTGACTAAATTTATAACTTAGAATTTAAAACATTGGGGGCATTTTGAGGGGTTTTATCTGAACATTTCTCTGGGCAATTATGACTCTTTCACAACACCCAGATTTACATGAATTGATTCTCCGGAAGATGAAAAGTATATATTTTATATAGAAGCTACAAGGGGCTTTTAAATGGTCATGAGTATGACGCCTCTATATGACCTATATGAGCTAACGAGACCATAAGCAAGACAATTGGCTATTTCTGTATAATTATTCTTAATACAAGTAACCGAGTCGCATTCCCCTTGAAATCAGACAAAACGATTTATGGCACACAGACAGAAAGAGACTGTAGCCTCTTTTAGGGTGCCTGTTCAAGGTGGGAATGCCGTGCCATTATTTGGTATCGCTTCTGTATAAAAAGTATGATCGGAGAATGGGCGACTGAAATGTCTCAACTTTAAGCTTGCAGTGCGACCCGCTGTCGGGAGACTTAAAAAGTGGCTAATAGCTTAAAGAAGAACAACAGCTGGAAATGTCAGCAAATAAGGGAGATAATGAGGTCTGGGAGCTCCTCAACCTCTGAGCAGAGGACGAGATCAGCGGCATATAACAGCGACTATAATTGATTGTAGTTGCCATGTAATGCCATTGCTATTGTTTAGCAAAGACTACCTGAGATTTATGTTATGTTTCACAATAGAGGCCAATGCTGTTGTGTTACATATCATGCCTGTCACATCTCTTTCACTTCCAATATGCCAGGATGCTACCCAAAATCACACTCTGGGGCGGCATAATGCCTTTCTTGTTTTGTTCTATATAAAAAAGCCCCCCCCCCCGCCAACTAAACGCACAAAGTCTGAGGTCTGGGCGTCCTTTGGGTTTCTGAAGAATGCCCAGGGACAGCTGGTGGAGGACAACTATCCTGTGTGCAGAACATGCAGAAAGAAAGTTGCTGCGAAGGGTAGCAACACTACAAATCTGCTGGCTCATCTCCGTGACCATCATCCACAACTTTACAGCCAATGCAAGTTATGCTATGCAAACGTCAGTTATTGTGTGAGGAACTTCGGTTTTACTAAGATTGTCATAATGTGTAACTCTCGACGTATACGGGACATTTGAGCCGCATCTGTCCTCCAAACGGCGACTAGGTTTTCCGTTTTCGTATAAGACACTTAGGAGCTAATACTAGCTGAATAACGTTAGCTAATAGCCGTATTAGCAGCTATGTTGCTAAGTGTTTCAAAACGAAACGGAGCTGTAAACACTGAGCGGAGCCGACAGAATATAAACCAACGTAACGTAATGCTAATTGAGATCAACTATGATTGAATCACTGTGATTATGGTTATTGTATGGCGAGCTAGAATCGATATCGACGGCCAGTTATGCTTTCTCGACATAAGCTCAAGGAAACAACATAAAACGCTGCCGTGTCAACCTTTGACCGAGAACATGCACTCCTTTTCTCATACAGGTAATCCTCTGACTCACATGCACACTTCTAATGTGTGAATTATTCTGTGTAATGATGACCAATGCTCTTAGGGTTTTTATGGTTTCTCCTGCACATTTGTGATATCTGTTCTATATATTGTAGGTTTTTTGTTCTACTCTTGCATTGTTTTGTTTTATATATATTTTTCCTCTCGTGCTAATAAATAAATAATTAATATATAAATTGTTTACATATTTTGCTGACTGTTAAAATGCACCAGACAAATAAGCTTTGTTCCTGTAATTTGTTTACATATTTTGTTCATTTAAAATAAAATGTTCTGTTGCTGTGCCAATCCCTTGCCCCTTTAATGTGAAAGTTTCATTTTAATATAAGATTTTGGCTGTTAACATTTTAGTATGATAAGGAAGTTACAAGATTTAGTGAATTATTTCAATATATCTATTTTTTGGAGATTTTACAGCGCTTAAAAAAATATCGCAATATTATCGTTTACCGTGATAATTTGGTCACTATAATCGAGATATCAAATTTTCCATATCGTTACATCCCTAAACTACACTAAAAAAATTCTCTTTGGGTTCACCATCTTCATATTAGTTATTAAGCTTAAATAGCAACAAATTGCTATGGATCCTGCAAACAGCTGTGGTTAAAAAAATGAAATTAAAAATAAATTGTGTCTTGTTTTTCACTTGCTATGTATGGCGGTGTGTATGGGAAATGCATTTTTCATTGCCAGAAATACTACTCCCTTTATCCACAGGGGCCACCAAAACATGACAAAAATATGTTCCTTGCAGTTGCTTTACAGTAATTCACATTAAATGGTTCTGAATTGTAGTAACAGTATTACACTGGGGTGTAACTTACCTCAATCATGTTGCCCTGACATTCTGGTGGTCCATGCTGGCATTCGTAAGTATACTTCTGTCCAACGGGTTTCTCCTGGGATAGAGTAAATGCAACAGATTCAAACGATATTTCTTAACCAAGATATTTTTATACATCATGTAATTATCTCTTTCTCAGTCAGTAAAGTTTGAGGATAATTCACTCTTGGATAAGCATGTTTATTTGATTATTCTGTGACCACATATGGTTTCAAATCTGCTTTTTGCCTCTACACATCTTAACAACACCACCAGCCGCAGCATCTGTCGATATTTTTAAGAAGCACCTTAAAACCTACCTGTATAGGCAGGCATTCTTTAACTTGTCTTTAGTGATTTATTTTTTCAACAACTGCTGTTGTTTCATTTTTGTGTCTCTGTATGTTTGTATGTATGTATTCTTGGTTGAATTTTAATCCTGTGAAGCATTTTGTGAGTTCTCTCTGTGAGAAATGCTATACAGATAAATTTTACTTACTTACTTACCCACTGCATAATTTATAGAAGAACCACAATCCCAGTGTGAACCCAAGGTGTTTTGTTCACTGCCTACCTGTGCATTCCCGTATGGCACCAGAGTAACAGACATGATTTCATCAAGCAGGACCCAGGTGGGGAAGAGCATCTCAGTTAGGAACATCCTGCAGCCGGGACACAGACTCTCATAGTAAAGCCCCACTTCCACTTGATCTCCTGTGTGACGGGACCTGGTGAAGTTGGACTCGAGGCAATGCTTCAAAACCTGCACAAGGGGGCAAAAGTGGAGAGGTTAACACTCGTGTTTCTCTTTGAGTGTCTGCAGGGTCAGGCCCTTTTGCATTTGGAGGAAATCTTAAGAAAGGTAACATTTACATATTTTAAATCGATTGAGAGAGCTTGATGGATTTACCCTTCTGTATCTGTTTAAATTACTGCTACAAAAAGCATACTGAGCATACTCAGTACTTAAACCAGGTTAACTGTACTCATTGTGAATGGATCCAGTATGAAACTGATGGAGGAGGAAGGATGTGCGTTTTACATACGCTGTTTTCTGGAGTGTGCTGAGGCCAGACTGTGGGAGTGAGACTTAATAGTGTGTGAATGTCACTGGCAAAGCAAGTAGTATTTTGGAGATCTGTACTTCCTCATTCCCGGATATGTCCCATAGTCCCAGCCAAAAGAAAACTCTGCTGCCCGCTTCTTCCTCACTGAGTAACGTTACAGATGGCAAAAGCGTAAAATACAGTCTACACACAACATAATATGGGTATCTGTTCCCCGTGAAACTTAGCTAACGTTACTGAGGGCTAACGATAGTTAAGACACAGTTATGACGTTGCAAGAATACGGCACAGAATTCTAACGTTAGTTAATTTACAATGCGAAACGTAATATGAGCAACATATTTTCTGTATTTGGACCCTTCGAAGTATATTTTTTCGTACCATGACTACTTACAACAGGCTCAAGTAGAAGCTGGGGTCAAATTAATTAATTTGCGTTTAGAAGTTTGTAGCTAAACAACTGAAAGTTAGCTAGCTTAAGCTAACTTAACAGGTCACAGGGTCAGGCTGGACACTGTTGCTATGGTTTCCAGCACTTATATACTGTATGTAGCGCAGTGATATGGCACAGTGGTTCGACCGACCGTTGACCACAAAGAACTATATTCGGGGTGTCCTGTGTGATTGTTAACAGACACAAGCCGTTCACAAAAAAGCATTTTACGCGCTCATAAAATAAAATAATAAGATAAAAGCTCTCCTAATATTTTGTTCATCTTACCCCGCACTGGAGAGCTGAGTCCAGAGATGAGCACCACTTTGATGGTCGATGGGAGCATGAAGAAGAAGAAGGAGGCAGGAGAGCGCTACCGCCGTACTGTATATTTAACCCAACAGTCAACACCAGCAACAGAAGAGCCTTCATCGTCAGCTACAGCACGGGGGTTCAGTTATACAGGACAAAACAAAGTTAGTAACGACACAGTACTGCCCTGCAAACTACAGTACCGTCCAACTTTAAATACAGCACCGACGCTTCCTCGTGGAGGCTGCCTATTTTTTGATTGGCTCTCGAGTTTACCATCGAGGCCGCGTCACTTGTATCTAGGAGAGGTCCGCGCAGAAAGAGTTCACAGCTGTGGGGACTTTTGATTCCACAGAAATTAGTCAAATGGTCATGAGATGTGCGTGGGCACGTTTTCACACCCTGAAGCACATTTAGTTGGCAAAAATGTTACCCGCTTTTCACCTTATTTTACATCTAGCAAAGAGAACTAATGTGGTAGACAAACAATACAAAACTCAAGTTTCACAAGTCCCCGCACTGGAAATTGAGGAACTGGGTAAAAAGTTGAGTTTAAAGTGAAAAACATTCAACAACATGCATTAATTTGGTGTATAAATCACTCTCAGCACCCAAATATATAAAGCTTCTAGGACCCTTTGGACATCTGGGGCTGGGCTACTGACCATCCCAAGAGCTAGAACAAAACATGCATTTATCATCATGCAGCACAAACCTGCAATAACCTCCCAGACTCTGACCACTTTCAAGTCAAAGCTTAAAATGTTTCTTTTTTTTACACTGCCAGCTGCACCCTGTAATGGCTGCAAACTTAAAATCATTTTAAATAATCTGTTTTTGCATCTCTTGTCTGCACTTTTGCTATTTTTAATGGTGAAAGCACTTTTAATTGCCCTGGTGTATGAAATGTGCTATACAAATAAAGCTGCCTTGTCTTACACTGCTGAGTGCTACCAGTTGTATTTGCCTACTTAAATAGCTCCTAAAACCCTTAATACACTGGAAAATATGTATTCTGCAAATACAGAGGAAGTTAAATTGAGTCTGGTGAGTTACACCTAACCCACGATTGTCATGTTCTGTACATCAAAGGGTCAAAAAGTTACTTCTTAGGAACTGTTCTTGCACAAAGAAAGGACGATGAGGAAATTATTTCTAGGACGAGCTGCAGTCTTGTGATCAGTTCACCCACTTTGTTGTTTTTCTTGTTTGATGGTGTTGTACTCTTGGCATGACTTGTGCACATCATCTGGCTAATTATAAAGCGATGGTGTGCCTCAGCTCAGTTCCTCAGTCCATAGGTCTTGCTTAAGAACAGTCATGAGAAACACACACTGCAACCCTTGAACACTGTCAAAGGTTTTACCTGGTGACTCTCACATGATCTCTCCTAGTTCTCATCTAAAATCAGGATAAGAGACAAAACAGCAGACAGGACAGAACACAACTCTGACTCACTGTACTTCCTGTCTACTTCGCTGTGTTTTGGCTTGGAGAGTTAGAGATAAAACTAACCCAGTACAATACAGCAATTTATCTGTGCTACTTCATATTTGGTTGCCTTTCCTATATTTACTCACAGTGTGCAAAAATGTGTGAAATACCGTATGAAGAAAGTGTCAGTTCACTCAATCACAAATAATATTTTCTCACTTCCCTCTTGTGGTGTTGCAGCATTAAGTTTTGGAGGTTTTGAAATACCTCTGTCTCCAAACTAATACAGTGAAAGAAAATACATATCACAGCATTAAACAATTATCTGCTTCAGGCAGCAGCATTACACCACAGACCTCACTACCTCAGACAGTTTCCATTAAAGCTGCTTTCTAGGGAGTGTAAAGTTCCTCACAGGTAAAGGTAAGTAAGTAAGACACCATATGGAGGTTTGTTGAATCCTGTGTTGTTTACATCTGTGTTAGCTTGCTGGCAGTCTTCTTCTTCACTGCCATTGTTGGCGCATTGCTGTACGTGTTTGGCGCTTTTGTCAGCAGACCATGCTTGTCATTGTGTGGGTGCAGGATATGAGCAAAAAGGGGACCTACTGCAAATAACAATGTTCCAACCAAAACTTAACAAAGGAGCATGAATACCTGTTTTTATTTACATCTCATGACATTTTGAAAACAGCACTGCAAATGACTGACATATAATTATGTATTTTAAAGGGACAGTTCACCCTCAAATCAAAAATACATATTTAGTGCTATTTATCTAGACTGTTTTGGTGTGAGCTGTTGTGTGCTGAAGATATCAGCCATAGAGATGTCTACCTTCTCTCCAGTATAATGGAACTAGATGGCACTTGGCTTGTGGTGCTAAAAGCAGCGAAAAAAAACCAGACACATCTGAAAAACTGACTGTTACTTGAGATAATCGACAGACCTTGTTGTGAGCGGTTTCATGTAGGAGCAACTTTCTCTCTACAGAACTACACCCTCCAACCGTAACAACGTGCAGAAGGAAGCGTGCATCTACTCATAGACGAGAGGCTTGGACTTGTGACAGTGCAAGATGTACACAATAATGGCGTCCTCCTCGGCTGAGCTGTAATGATAGCTAGCTCTGTAGTGCTAGGTGAGCTAGCAGTAGATGCACACCTCCTTCTGCACAGTGATTTGGTTGTCGGGTGTAGTTCATGATTTATGGAAAGAGACATTGCTGTTTTGCAAGTTTTTCAAATGTTTTTTTGGTGCTATGAGCACCACAAATTGAGTGCCATCTAGTTCCATTATATTGGAGAGAAGGCAGACATCTCTATGGTCGATATCTCCAACACTCAGCAACTCACACCAAAACAATCTAGAATGATAAACAGTACTACAAGTAAGAGGAAAAATATATATTTTCACACTCATCATGCCCCTCGGCATGTGATATTAACACCAACGGCACTCTTTAGCATCTTTGAGATGCACTAGTTTTCAACTACCTCCAATGTAAAGCCATCAATGGCAATACTTGATGCTGAGAGCAACTGATGTAGCATGAAAGGCAAGAAAAGTCTGCGTAGGGTGGGAGGGAGTGGATGTGAATGGGTCAAACAAAACAAGACTTTCATCCAGGAGACTGCAGTTTGTGTCCCCTGTGAAACCAAAAGTCAGCATTGTTTTAATGTCACATTATGTAATTTATGTACAGTTGTCATGCTGTGATGTCACTCGTGGCCTATATATATTGTGACAAATGTACTTATTTTAACCCATAGTGTTATGTTTTTTTCTAAACCTAACCATGACTGTTTCACACCATCAACCACATGTTACATGTTTCAGCTGCGTGTCACATACAGACACTGAAGGTTGTCCTGTGCATCACTACGAAATGACATGGGGAATGACAAGGCATTGGCATTTGACAACCTGGGAATGAGAACAGGTTGTAATTTTGTATTTTGGGGGTCAACTGCCCTTTCAAGTTTTTTACAATAAATTTTTGCCCTTAAAATTATAATAAAACATATTTCAGTGTTGCAACAAATAAAAGATGCCCTTATGTCTAAGTAAAGCAAAATATTAGCCAAAGTATAACAAGGACATGTATATATATCTATATGAGTATGTAAAATCAGACAAGTTGATGATTATGAAGCAAAAAAAGGCGACAACATCAAACTTAATTTTATATATCTTTTATTGTCTTTTAAAATCATTGCATCAGCCTAAAGAAAGAACCGTACAGATGAAAGAGTACCTGTCTGAGGACAAACACAACTCTGAAGCAAGCTGTACACGAGAGAGAAAGAAAGAAATGTCGCATCTGAATTAAGACGGACCAACGGAGGGAGGATAACACGAGAAAAGAGAAGAAGAATATTAACCATCTTTTCGTGCATAGGGGTTGGGCACACCTCAACCAATAGGCCTCTACTGGCTGAAACAACAGTGCTCCCTCTGAGTTCAATTGCACTTTGGTGTAGAGTAGCTTTATCTGACTGCCCCATTCACTTCCATTCATTGTTTTTGAAAGAAAGACCACATCATTGTTAACTACACATTAAGAACTGTGTATCTGTTGCTGCAGTGATACATGAGGCAACTTGTTGGGCAACATGCGAGAGCAAAGCAGACAAGATGTAGCCTTGGTATTAGAGCATCGATTCTCTGTTCAAACTGACCTGCAGGGTTCGAGCCTAGCCGGGCTGTAATTTCTAAAAATTCCCCTCAGGCTTAAATCAGGTTGTATCGATCCAATTTCCTTATTTTAATCAAAAAAAAAAAAAAAAAAATGTATGGGCTTTGCTAAACATTTGGTAGGCGAAGATTGTGTCACAAATGTCTGTTACTGCACTGAAAAGACTTAAGTTGACTTTAGCTAGTAATAAATGTTGTAATATTATTTTTTTTTGCAGTGAAATTTGGGGTTTTTAAAGGGGTGTGGGCTTTGGGTCAGGCCTGATTTTTTAGGGCCCAATCAAAGCTCTACTTGTGAATACGTGTTTGCTGCTCAGCAATGTTTCCCAGGCTGTTGCCGGATGTATCACTGCTAATCTTGTCTCCAACGTTCAGAGTTGGGTCTTGAATATGAACTACTGTACACCAGTGAAAAGTACTACAACATTCACATCAGAATAATCAAACAAATGGCAGCCTTACGAGTCAAAGTCCTGACTGAGAAGTGATGGTGTGAGATGTGAAACAGGCAGAAAAAAAAGGGAAATGAAAGTACAGTTGTTAACGTCATCATGTTTTCAATGGAAATCACACAAGCTGAGACTATAGTGGGTAAATTTTGGTCTTAAAGATTAGTTAACCAACCATTTTCATTTGTTCTGTAGTGCAAAAATCAAGAATAGGATGCCTCTTGATAGTTATTCCTGAATTTCCGACTCTGTTTACGTACAAAAACTGTACTCAAGCATAATCACCAAGTGTTTTTACTGTTATTCACAACGTGTGGGTGTCACCCCATATATAAATTCTTTGAACTGAGTCCTCCCCAGAGAAACACCTGGCAGAGTCATGCTGAAATCTACCATACTGTACATATAATAAACAGCAAAAAGATGCGACAGCGTCTCAAGTTCAGTCCTGCATATACAAGGCTCAGTGTAAGGTGAAGTAGTCAGCAGGTAAAGAATGACAAAGACTGATGAATAACTACGCAACATGAATCTTGTTGAGTTATTATTTTGAAATTGAGGGAGCACTGTTTTCATAAGTCCAAAAAAAAAAAAAAAGTAATGAACCGAAAACAGAAAACAAAACAAAAACAGAACAAGCAGTCATAACATTTTCA